GCGAGGAACTTAGAGATGCATTGTTGAATCGGTAACAAATTGCACGCTGTGATTACGTTAAGAACTTCATCGGTTGGATAAACGGTGGAGCTTAGATTGAAATTTAGCAGTTACCTCGTCGTATGCCGGGGAATTAAAAAAAAGTTAGAAAGAACTTATTAAACAATTTCTAAAGACGTACTATCTTACTCTTCTTTTTAATGCAATTGGCCGTTTTAAACTTTACTATTCATATCTAAAGAACATATGTTATCTCACAATATTTTTCAGTAAACTCCTTTCGTAAATTTTATTTTCAGTTTAAACTTCCCTTGGAGTTTCCAAGTAAACATAGGAGGCGGGTTCTTGTACCATCAAATCGCAACAAGTGTTTACTACAAACATCTCCGTCTCGTATGCAACTGTTGAAAATACTTTTGCTACGTGGTCTGCACGAAACCTGTCAAATCATGTACATCTATCAAATATTTTCCCCCATTTATTGTATGTATAATACACTCATAATACATATGTATATAATAATTTGTGATAAAGTAAAAGTATATATACTATATAAACATATGATTTTGTAATAAAAGACGTAATGAAATTATAATCTTAATCAGTACCACCTAAGCAATTAGTGGTAGCAAAATTTTGCTGTAGCCATTGCAATCATAATCAACAATTAAACTTACTTGTTAATAACTATAATTAACATTGTTATAACTATAAACCGTGGTCGTGCTTCGCAGCAGCTTCTGTTGTTGCAAGAATGGGCAGGCTCGTCAGGGGAATTATAACACTATCACAAAAGACCGGCGTGAAGTTAAAGTAATATGCTCGATAGCTCCGTGACGCAGTTGCCAAGGAATTGGCTACGGATCCGGGATTCGTGCTTTCGAGTTCCACACGAAACAACTCTTTGTGTGACCCACAGGCAATTGTTTTGGATCTGGGTGTTTGTCCACGTGAAATTTATGTGGGTAAAACTTTATTACAAAAACGAATAATGTTATCGTAAGGGGTAGTGTTTTCGGGACTAGAACTATTAGGGAAAAGTTCCCAACGACCCAGATCTATTGATCTAGGTCGTTGGGACTCACTAACCATCCCTTTCACATAAAATACAAATACAATAAATATACTCTTACATTTCATCTGCTTAGCGAGGTGGATGTTCGTTGTAATCACTTAGCGTACTTCCTCACATTAAAAAAATACATCTCATCTTGTTGCAGCTAATTTCATAGACACACACTTTAGCGGATATTGTTATTAACGAAATAAAGCTGTCAACAATGCGTAATACACCATTAGCTATATTTGGTGACACAAAAAATATTGTACGTGTGCGCGCGACGCAAAGACGAGTCACGGTAGAAAGGGAGAGGGGAGCGCCACGGAGTCTGCCCGAGGCAATTTGGTACCAAATGTCGTTCGCTACGTGCCCCACAAACAAAGAGGAAGGACTAAGCCATGTATTACTTTAAAAGCTGTCAGTTTAGAGCTGCAAATGTGTTATGTAGACAATATAAAGCTTGGACATTCGGTAGTTAGTTACGCTTCTTCACAATCGAAAAGAATTATAAAATATATTTTTATTTTTTTTAATTCATGATAATGTGTGATGCGATAGAAAAAGTATTGTGCTGAATGTAAAACTATTTTCTACTAAAGGTATTTGAACGAAATAACTGAAACTCTTGAACTCAATACCCACATTAAAACAACGCGTTCAATAACTATAACGAATAATTTCCTTCTCGAATCGAAAGTAATAAAATATAGCAGCAGAAGGGTTCTGCTGCTATATTTTATTACTTTCGATTCCTATATAATTTTAATAAGTGTGCATCTATTTTTATTTTCACCCTTAGTCTACGTATTTTGTATACAAGCGCCCCTTTAAGATTTACGCGGCTGACGCGGGCAATAACCGACCAGCCTACCCACGACATAGAGCGTTCTGTATTTTAAAATATTCGCTCGAAACTGGTGAAAAATTGCTTTCCGCCCGTCGTGACCAGAACACCATATATTTTAGTCATCGTTGTGAATTGAACGGACACAATATGAAGATGGGTCCAAATAACGTATCTCGAACGCATGCCTACTCTTAGTCATGTGGAAAATATTTTTTATATCTTATAACACATTATAGTATTGATGTTTTAGTATTAAGAGATATATTAGATGTATTTCTAATCATTTGTGGCATACAACACACATTTCCGCACATTCAGCTATATCTGAGAGTCTTTACTTGTCAAATAAAGACCGCTTCTCAAGGTGGCAAGCGAGCAAGCGGTTCACCTGATGTTAAATGATGTGAATATTACATATGAGGCTCCATATGCGTAGCGAACCCTGCATAAAAGTGGTTCCCGGTTATCTCATTCACCAGGTACAACGCTAAAGTATAATACATCTACTTCTTGCCGGTCTCTTGCGAGGTCGTGGTACTTCCTCGGATCAGTCTGCCCATACCCAGGCCACAAGCAGTTTCTGCTGTTGCACTGCAAAGACTGCTTGTGGCCCTACCATTGCTTCCTGAAATTAAACATACAAGAATACATGATAGTTAGTTATGTTTTATTTTTACATGGTGTACATTCGCATCGTTTTAGTCGTAATGGACTCTACGTTGAAATGTCTGAATTGGTCGAGCAACAAGATTTGATTTGTGGGCTCACTGTTATTGTTGCTATGAAATAGACCCGTGGGGCTCGGGAAACTAAACTTTTTTGATCTCGACAATCCTCTCGGGTAAGCGGTCGCCGCAAACTTATGTGGATATCATATGGCGGTGTAACGAAAAAAGGTCTGTTTGGAACATGAACAATATGAAAGTTACAAACTAAAGTAGTTTTTGGGCAAAATCTTTCGTAACCTCTATTGTCTACCTAACGGCGTTGACGTAAACAAATGCTAATATATCAAATAATACATGAATATACTTTGATTTAAAATTTTCAGTTAAAATTATCTGGGTGTCGCTGTTATAGCGTTTTCGAAAAATACTTTAATAACTAATATGAATAATCTCATATGGAGTAACATCAATGTAAGGTAAATATCAATGGCCACTAATACAAATAAGGGAGCAAAATTTAAGTTTGGCAGATCGTAAAACACATTAGCACGTAGTTCGACCCCACGCGTGCCGCCGAGCCGACGATATTGGGGTAAAAGGGAAAATGCATTGGCTTTATGTAATGTACCAATAACCTGAGGATTAGGACGGTGGAATCTGACGCGAACTTCCATTTTGCGTAAGGCACTTACGTACTCTAATATGCTCACAAAGAGACGTAATATCCAAGATCATAATAGACAATATAGCTAGCATAAACTCGGTTCAAAATGGCCAATGAATCCAAATGATGAGTTGTTGCGTGTCTTTTTCAGAGTTAAGAGATATAGTGTTGTTTTGAACATTACAACCAGATTAATTAGATAAATTAATAAAGACCCAAATTTCTCTACTTTTCCAGACCTAGGCTACATAATAATTAATTAAAAAACAATATAGGATCAACTTCTTTATTAGCATAGATTACCGAATCAGTTCGGATTATCAAATGTACAAACGAAATCAAGTTACAATGTTGTTGTAGGACAAGCGATGTAAATCCCAAAAGGGTTTGGCTTATGGTAATAGCCAAGAAAATATTTAATGCGCGCAAAAATAATGTACCTACATTTCATTTTTAATACCACGATGTCAGTGTAACGCTGCCTAAATAATGGGATCGTGATAAATCACAGTCGTCTTTTCGTTGACGTTATGCTACTGCTTTGGAATATAAACCAGCCTGAGTTAAGGAAAACAATACAGTACTGCATGATACTGCATTTTTAGCTGAGATTATATCCTTACTAATATTATAAAGGCGAAAGTTTGTATGTATGGATGGATGTTTGTTCCTCTTTCACGCAAATACTACTGAATGGATTTTAATGAAACTACAATAATATAGCTTAAACATCAGAATAAGACATAGGCTATAATTTATATACATATTTTATGTATATCTGTCTTTCTGTCTGAATGTTACGCCTTCAGCCTATTCTATGCAGACGTAGTCGCAGGCAGCAGCTAGTTATGTTATAAAAACATTAATGGTAAACATCATAATACACAAGCTTTACCTACTCTTTTTGTTGTTTATAAATAATGAGAATTGTGGTCACTTGGTCGAGTCCATATCGGTCTCAAAATATTTACATTAAATACATAATAAATATCTATCTTGAAATAAGTTAGCAACGGATACAATTTTTTCAACGCTTCTTATATAGATTTAATTATCGTTACGTTCTCATCGAATGGATGTCAACAACTACGGTTTCTTAGAACACGAAAGACGTATTTCGTTGTAGGTACATATTTACAATTTAAATGTCGCTAAAAGTATTCTGCTTCAACTTTAACATATATTAGAATACGCAAATGGACATCGTAAGTAAATTAGACGCGTGTTTTGATGGTATTCAGGCTTCGTGTACCGAAAAAGTTTAAACTAATATTCACAATGGAATGTCGCGGTGCGTGGTAGCAAGTTGGCCGCACCTTAAGAATGAGGTCGGCTCGTGGCAGCATCCTTGAGAGGCCGCATTCCAGCACCGGCCTCTATTTACGGTCTAAGTCCTCATTTTCTCTGCAATTGCAAATCTTATGTGTCGACGTTATACTACGTCGGTTAAGTTGGAACAATTTAGTTGTCTTTTAAATCAAATGCGTCAAAGAGGAATTAAAAAAAAATCTCCGAAGAGGTATGGCTAATGGGTCGGACAATTTGTTACCGTGCAGAGATTAAAGGAGGCAACTTAGGTAGAGGAAATGAACGGAACAGCCATATGATTTCACAAAGATAACAAAATCGATGTCATCCTTTTTAACTAAAAATTGCACGGTAGTATTTAAATGGTAGAAGTTAATTCTACTTTTCAAATAACACACAAAGAACGATGATTCCGAAATGGTGAGTTTGATATAGGTTTTTTTTTTGTTTCAGAACATTCTGGATAAATTCAATCCAGGCGCCCGACAGATGATAACAGCAGGCAAAGCTTACTTGAAAGCATTGCATGGTAAGTATATTTTTGCCTGATTGATTATGCTTCCAAAATTCCTAAAAGTTTTGTTAACGTTGTTGTATCAGGATTTCTTGTATTTACATTAATAGTTATATATTGTCAAATAAAACTATTTCACGGATTTTAACGCGCATTACAATTATTAATTGTAGTTACCGTACGGTAAGTTGACTGTAGCCCGGGTTAATTCTGATATTTGGACGTAAAACAAATCTGTCCGTCCCGTGACCATAAGCTGCAAGGCGTTTGAAACGTTGAGAATTTAAAATAAATAATACAAATTATGACACAAGGGCAAACATCCTAACCAATGAAGAGTTTATGTCAAATTCTTGATCCCCATGACGTGGCGAAGCCAGTAAAGAAATGCGGAATGTCCTCTATTGAGTGAAACAATTAATTTATATAGCGTTAGCCAAATGGGTGCATCTATATGCAAAACCTCAGTATTGTGCGCTTGTTTGGCTTTGGAACTAGGGCGCAGTTTGTGCCAAATTGTCTCTGTTGGCTTATCTACAGTATTATAGCCGACGCTCTAACAGCAATAAACTTGAGCATTGTGTAGGTACGATGCATGGCTCTTGTAGCTTGTTTCTACTTAAATTCGACGCTTTGTGAGGCCAGTTAAATTGTTTTGCAACACGAAATGGATCCTGCATTAGCTTCAATTAAATAAATGCTCGAATAAAAGTTCGGTTCGGATAGTTTAATTGCTTTATCAACATTGCAGTATTCGATATTTGCTATTAACAGTAACCCGATTGTTCAATCTTAATGAACTTTAATTTTCAATTTGTGTAACATTCCTCGAGTGACCCACGTACATTCATGAGGGATAAAAGTGGTAGGCATGCCAATCTGTGTTTAAGCAACCCGGCATCTCGTAGTTACTTCTGAACAAATGCGCCACCTCGACCAAGGAAGTATTGAGGATTTATAGAAGAAAGCTTAAACTAGAAGTATTATTCATAATTCTTCATTTTGTTTGATAGGCGAGGTAGGATGGTAAAGCACCAGAAACCTATCAGTGTTTCAGATGTTCATTATCATCATCATCATTCCAGCCTGTTAAAGTCCACTGCTTAACATAGGCCTCCTTCACCGACTGCCACGAAGGACGATCCTGAACCACCTGCATCCATGAACTTCCCGCACATTTGAACAGGTCGTCAATCCATCTAGTGGGAAGTCGTACTATACTGATGTTCAGATGTTCACGGCAGTAGATTTCACTTACCACGACGTGAATTTGTAATGGATTTTAACAATTCTGTTTTTCACTATTCCATTAGGCGCGGCAGCAGCGTCTCGCTTGTACGTGGACGCGGTTGGTAAGTTGGGACGGCAAGCCCAGCAAGGGACATGGGGAGGCTGCGCAGATATCGGTGAATATCCTTAGCCTTATATTTCCCACTACTTCGTAGCTATATTACTAAGGAGGTCTTAATCTAGCCTTAACAGCAAACAGATACACGACAGCCATAAATCAATACGAATTAGTTGGGAATCAATGAGCTTAGTGCCTATTCAACATTAATGTTATTAACGTCTAGTTAATACTCTGCAAGGACTTATTGCGGTCTTCAAAACTAAGTTACACATTCTTACGTGTATAAGATATCTCATAAGCTTTAGTAAATACATAGGTACGGCTTAAATTTCTTCTCTATGGTTACCTGTGTTTACCCTATACTCTTTCAAACAATATGGGTTTATTGCTTTATCCTTGTTTATATTAGCTATTCGTGTTTGCCTTGATCCTAGACAAGATCTCACAACCACAATAAATTACTAAATGGAATAAAGATCTTTACTTATAAATGTCTTTTGCGACCTTTGTATGCGAAACTTGTTTTCAACTTGTGACTCTTTTATATTAAAAACGTGGTGACAAAATGGTTTTCTGTAATTTAATAATGGTAATATAATTCCTACAAATATATAAATTATTTGGTGCCTGATAATTACGGATTAATTTGTATTATGGTATGACAGTGAAAACACAATAGCGTGTTACATCAAATTAAGAGGAGCGGGAATGAAAACGAGTGTATATTTTTAAAATCTATTACCGCAGTGGATTTTCAATAACATTTTTTTAATTTATTTGAAGGTCTAGTAGGAATAAAAAAATCGTAATAACTAATCTCTTTCAAATATTTTTTTCAGGGACTGCTCTTATGAAGGTCGTAGAAGTATATCGGGAGATACAAGATCAACAAATGAATATTGTAAGTTTTTCTCATACATTATTGGTAGGTTTCTAGCGCTGACGCTTTGGTACCAAAGACTAACTTTATCCATAACTTTTATTAATACATATACGGATTTTTTTATTAATCAATTTTATAATAACGTGTCTATGACAAGCCACTGGAGTTAATGAACTGCTATATAAATGAAAGTAGAAGGTGATTGAATCACAATTTCATTTATAGTATAGCGGTCGCGGCAGGTCATGTTTTTACGTTTTATATTTATTTATTTATGCTTTATTCCTAACCTTAAATAAGAAAGGTAACAAAGGGTAGACTTAATGCTCAAAGGTATTCAGTACCATTATACTGTTTCGTAATAATCAAACTTTATGTTACTTATTCCAGCTAAAGGCGTTTTACGTGGATCTATTGGTCCCCTTGGAAACTAATCTGGAGAAAGACACAAAAGTTGTACAGGTAAATCTATAAGAATTTTCCTTTTATAATCTTCTTCCTTTAATCCCGGTTACTGGTTTGTTTACCGAATATAGGAAACAGAGCTCGGAGTTCAAATAACATTCAGTATCTCGTTTATCAGGGAGATAAGAATTTGTATTAAAAAAGTTTTGTCGGAATGGGTTGATTCGCATCGCGTATAGAATTTGTAGGCCAAATATAAATATCTGTACCATCGCATTTAAAACAAATTTAGTTTTTTATCTCCTTATTATTTAATATTTCCTCTTTCCTCTTTATTATTTAACCGGTACTAGTGAAACAAATATTAAAGACTTTGGTTAAAAACGACGTTGGTTATTTAAAAATTAAGAGCTGTTTTGGTTTTTTTTTAGTCCGAACAAAAAAGATTCCTTCAGCAACACAAATTGCGCTCAGAAAGTTACAGCAAAGCCGCTGCAACGATTAAAAAGCAAAGAAAAAAGAAAACTAACGTAACAAAAGTTGGATCAGCCATGGACAAAGAGATGAAGGTGAGTCTGGGAAGTTATATAGAAAACGTATTGCGATTGTAAATGTTTTGCATACCAAAACCGTAAACAAATTTTCAAGATAACTATAGCTAGGTTGTTACGTACGGTAAATTATTCAACTAAATATGAAGCTGCTATCATTTAAGGTATTTTTTTTATTTGTATAAGTAAGTATTTCATAAAGTGTTTATTTTTAGAGCATGCAAATACTCGAGGAAGAGAAAACAAAGTTGGACGCGTTCTGCGAACAAAGCTTGAAAAATGTAAGTACGCTTTTAATAAGATTTTTTTTAGGTAAGTTGGTGAAGTTTTTTCACGAATTCAAAAGGCGATTACTACAAAATTTTAGGTGGCAATCGTTATGAACTGAATAAATACCGAAACATTACATCAAATAGTATAATAAACCATTTAGGCGAACAAATGTAATGTTTCGGCCATTTAACATTTAACAGCGTGTACATGTCCCACTGCTGGGCAAAGGCCTCCTCTGTAGAGAGGGTACCAGTGCATAGTCCACCCACTGCGGATTGTCGTACATCACACATTTTCCAAATTTTTTTTGGTACTATTTCGAAAAAAATGCAGGTTTCCTCACAATAATTTCCTTCACCACTGAGAACGTGATAATTCAGCACTTACTCGTAAAATTAACTCGAGTATATTAAATTAAACGCGAGCGCCCGGACAATGAGCTGTCATGGCTGATAATCACAATGTCATATGAAAATGCTGTGTTTATCTTAAATACAATGTTTTACATTAAGATCCTTATTAGATAAGATTGATTGCCTTAAGGCGAATCCTTGAACAGCATAACTTAAGACAATATTATAGTTTTTATGCCACCGAGCTATATGCATGGGACAAATTTTAAATAAACCGGCCAAATGCAATTTGGATCCGCGTAAGAAGGGTTCCGTATCTTTTTCTAGAAAAACCGCATAAAAATCATGTCTGTTGTATGGTAGCCCCACCTAAATATTTTTTTATTCTGTTTCTTAATATTTGTTCTTATAGCGGCAACAAAAATACATCATTTGTGAAAATTTCAACTGTGTAACTATCACGGTTCATGAGATGGGCCTGATGGATAGACAGATAGACAGACAGCGGAGTCTTAGTAATAGGGTCCCGTTTTACCCTTTGGGTAAGAAACCCTTAAAAATAATGTCATGACTAATTTAATCCCACTTATCCATAGGCTATGACTCAAGAGCGTCGTCGCTATGGCTTCGTGTTAGAGCGTCAATGTTCCCTCGCGAAGCATTGGCTAGCTTATCACAGCTCAGGTGCCGCATCTTACAGCACCGGGCTTGATGAATGGCTCGAGGTCTCCCGCACAAGGGAGTTCCTACCTCCCAATGTAGAGGCCATGTTCGTCAGCAAAATGAGGGTGAGGGACAATTGTCATGTTATACACTTTTTGCTAACCTTAATAGTACGCATATATGTATAGTTTTACTTACTTTGTGATTTATGTATAAAATATGAAATATTTTTCTATTTAGGTAGTACTTATTTTCGACCTGTTTTATCTTACATTTCTACTTGTATCTACCTACCTACTCCTCCTTCTACTTGTATCTTGCGGTCACTAAGTCACTTCAAAGCAGAGGTTGACTGTAAACTAGTAATTTGAGAAAAATCATAATACATAAATATATACGAGTACTTATAAATACATGAGTTACAAACATATTTACGAACAAAAACTGACTCATTAAATTACAATTAACGTTGAATATATTACCTACTCGCTATTTTAATAATCAGTCGGATAAAGCTATATTGAATAAACCTTAATGTAAATCAAAGTGTTTGTGCTGCCTTTACATCTCGGCTCACACTGTAATGCGTCGTAAAAATCTGCCACCACTAGCGTAAAATTATTTTATGTTTCTTCATATTATAATAGTTGTATAGTTAACTTTTTCAACTGCACCAACCATAAATTAAACACCTGACATGAAGAAATACATATTATGTATTTAATTTTTACGTCAAATTTGTTGTGTACAAAGATTCACGAGAAACATAATAAAATATAAGATACAATGAGTGTAAGATATATTCTATAAGAATATCTAACGTAAAGTACCTGGATAAAATTAGAAGCTACTGTGAACAAAAATCATTATATATATAAAACAATACATATTTTTCTTAGTTAAGATTATTGTCGGTGTGAAGATAACCCGTTTAGCTCAGTGGAAGCATATTCAAATCCACGCAGCAGCGCCAAACTTTTCCTCCATTTTTCTGCAAATTATTTAAGTTTAATTAGTCAGTTTAACCGTGATATATTTATTGATACCAAACATTTCGATTTACGCAGCAAGTTTCGTTCTGGGCCGATGAAGATGTTTATGCCAGTCCACGCAACGGTGACGACGATGATCGGGCATCTGTCGGATCAGCTTTGAGGAAAACCAGATCAGTTGACGCATCTTGTCTTGACGTACGATCTATTGCAGAGCTCGGCTCACCCGCTCAAGGGCTATCGAGGGCAAAGTCAGATTTTAATCTACAAGCAAGCTCTCACATGGAACAAGGTAATTAACATACGCAATTGTTTAATTTTTTGCCATATCCTGCGTTTTCACACAATGGCATTTTATCAGTGCTTCAACACGTAAAAGGCCTTAGAGATGATTCTGGCACAATTGAACGTTAACATTTTACACCTAATCAAAAATATTGAATCTTAAAAACAATTAAATGGTAATTATTTTTTCTGTCGTCTAACAACGGTAGTAATTTGCTTAGTAAAATTTCCTTTTCATTTCTTTTTTTTAGCATATTTCGTTAAAACATTCATAAATTATATTATTATTAATAATTTTGTATATGATTATTAGAAATAATCATCTCAACTAACTAATGAAAAAATTAATACATAGTATCTGAATAATAAAATTATACATTCAGCGAATTATTGAATATTTAAGTCCATTACTTTCGGAAAAATAAAACCGGCCAAGTGCGAGTTGGACTCGCGCACGAAGGGTTCGTACGGAATTACTATACATTATCCATAAAACCGGCAAGTAAATCATGTCTGTGGTATGGGAGCCCAACCTTAATGTTTTGTATTGAGTTTTTTAAGTATTTGTTGTTATAGCGGCAACAGAAATACATCATCTGTGAAAATTTCAAATAACCATGACGGACGGATAAACAGAGAGACAGAAAATGGAGTCTTAGTAATAGGGTTCCGTTTTACCCTTTGGGTATGGAATAGTAAAAAAACAAGCTTTACGACGTAATGGAGTAAACAATATCTGCATAACTGCCGATGTCCACATTTAAGCCAGTTAGTTGCCAGACTCCCTGTTAATTGGTGTATCTATCGGAGTACGCACACCATCAAAAATAATCATTGGTTATTTTAATTAATAGAAAAAGGTTTTATATAGTTACAATGTATAATATGTGATTTTACAGAAAATGATACCCGTACAACAACACGACCGTCATCGCTGGCACCACCAACTTCTACCAGCCGTGACCCACCTCTAGCCCGTGCTTTATATGCTTACTCGGCTGCTGGTGACAATCAGCTGAGTTTTCAACAGGGTGACATACTCGCCCTTCTAGGGGACCGTACCAAGGGCTGGCAGTATGGAGAAAATTTGCGCACCCACAGCGCAGGGTGGTTCCCTCTGGCGTACACCGAGGCGATACCCAACGAAGAACCGTGAGGACAACTACTTTAATAACAAAATATTGATTTCAGATATTATTTTTATATTTGTTAAGAAAGTGGCAAACGATCTGGCGGTCCACCTGATGTTAAGTGATAACCGCCGCAAATGGACATTTGCAACACCCTTAGGGTAGATGCGTAACCACCTTTAAATAATGTGGGCTCTAGCTACCTCAATCACCACACGAAACGCAGAAGTGTAACACTTCTACTGTACGCCGGTGGCGTTGTGCCGGCCTGTGAAATCGTGGTATTTACCCGGACGGACCGCCCATTCCTGCAATAGTGAACACTGTTGCGTGGCCCTGTTACAGTTAACTAATTCAATTACTGACATTTTGATTACATGTTTGCGCTTCTGGATTTTATTTCAGATAATTTGAACAAATATGGCCTAAACCGATTTATATAAATTATTTACCTGGTACGGTTGAACAGTTTTCACTAGTTTTTTTAATTTTAATTTAAAAATTCTAATATAAAAATTCTTGAACAGACTTGAGTCTGTTAAAATACTTGCAATACAATAAATTGTATTTTATTTTTAAGTGGCAGTTCACCAGCACGCTGGAGCTGTGCTCAAACTCCCAGCGAGACACCACCACCTGCTCCCATAGCCCATGCTCAGGTTTCGTCATCCGCGAATACAACGCATTCACATTCTCATCCACCAGCACGCATGTTTGGCGATACTGTCACTGCTCATCATGTAAACAAGGTTAATCAGCAAATTAAGTTTTAGAGGTTCCCGCTTTTATTTGTTTCAATATAACTAATTCAAATGACGAACTAAAACAGTCTCTAATTTTCAATTAATTAGTTTAGATTATTTTACTTATTTAACAATAAATAGTGTACTGCTTAAACAAATAATCGCGCTTTTTAATGATTTTCTTTTATATTTTTTTGCTTCATCTTACATATAATAAGGAAATATGTGATAAAAACCGCTTTTATTAATTTCTTAGGGTCGCTTGGGTAGCAACTCACCAGGGTTACCTCCGACGCTACCAGCACCATCGCCAGGAGGCCTAAGCTCTTCAGCTAGTGCGACTTTCCATGCTTCTACTGGAAGTACATCTGCTACTAATGCGATTAAGAACTCTACATCTGCAGCCAGCTTTACTACTCATGCTGTTATTGAAACGAGAAGCTTTGGCCCACAAACTTTGCCGATGCGTTCACAGGTACGGTGAAAGTAATTTACTTTATTCGTAAGTATGCTCAAATTAAGTAGAATACTATTGTAATGACTGTTAACATTATCATTTATTTAAATATTATTTTGTGATATCCTATTTGCTATTTCTTTTTTTTAATCATAATTTTTATTTAGGTGGCACAAAACAAAGTTGTCCCAACTAAGAGTGCCGTAGCAGCAGTCGGAGCCGTAGGTAACGTTTCGCTACACAGCTCTAATGATTCAGGGTTTTCAAATGAACCTCCACCGCAACCGGATGTTGATTATAGTGATGAAGAGGCTCAAAGGCTTCGAGTACCTATCAGGTATGTGAAATATCACTATATACATATCATTTTTTGTTTGCTTTTTGTAGAACCGCTAGATTTATCATTTACATTATTTTTATAGTAAAAATCAGCAAAACAACGAGCATAGAGCATACTTACTTAAAACACAAAGTCTCAGACGTGGTCCAAAGCCTAGTAGTAACAACAATGGATATTTGACCGACGATCAACAGTTACTATTACGTAATATGCTTGATATGGATAAAGATTCTCAAAAAGTGAAAAGAACAAAATCATTCTGGAAATTTGGACGCACAACCTCAGAGGAAATTATGGAAGGCATGTCTCTTTGGCAGCATCGTGACATTGTTGATACAGTACCGGAATATAAGAAAAAGTTGTTTGTTAAGTTAAAGAAAGAATTACGCCCAGCTCCTGATATCCCTGAACCTAGAAAAAACGCGATAAGTGAAAAGCCAATCGCTGTAGAAAATCTACAATCACGGTCGCAGGATAGAATGACAATTGATAGAAAAGATGTTAAAGTAGCTACTGGTTTGCGACAAGCTAAAAGTTTAGGCTCCATTCAAACTGAAGATAGGACAGATAATCCTAAAAAAAATGATGAGACTGTATATCATCAAAACCAAATTATTAATAAGAAGAGCACTTCTGAAAAATCAATTATTGAAGAGAAACATGATGACTTTACGCCTCGAAATGAATCAAGACACTCTGATCTTACTAATACAAGTACCATTAAAACTAATTTCGAAAACAGTTTTTACAATGACGAAAATGGTGATGGTTTCGTTATGAAAACTGTTAAACGAAGAGAAATTTTGCAAAAATATGACAATGATAGCAGTTCTGACGTAAATTCTGTTGCGTCAAGTACTGATCCATATGACTGCATTATAGTTGATGATCATATGACATCAAAAAAGCACCATGAACTTGATAGACGCAGACAAACGCAAATGTTAGATGATGAAATTAAGAAAAATAAAGAAAATGCTTACATGCCGGAGTTTGAAGAAATAGAAATAAATCCAATAAAACCACATGTCCGTGCAACACTAACTACGGAAAAATCCAAAAAGACTTCCCATGAAAGGAGTCCACCTGTAATGGAATTTAAAACGTTTAAAGATAACACTAAGGAGATAAAAACATTTTCAGCTTCATCAGAAACATTAAAATATAAAGATAACGAACAACAAAGAGATAGATATGGTATTCCTATAGAACGAAACAATAATGACATTCGAAACAACGAGACTTACAATGGATATGATGACGGAACCTTAAAGTATAAAAAAGGTCCAAGTAGAGAAGAAAAAAATCGCCAGTCGAACAACTTTGAAAATGGAAAAAAACTCAAAGAATATCCTCAAGCAGAAGTAAGGCCGCAGAAAAAAGAGAACCGATCAACTGAAAATAGAGAACCAAGAATTGACTACTCTTTAGACCGACGTCAAATGAGGAAAGATTTTAACGACTCAAAAAATAGAGACACAAGATTAAGAAACAGGTCGAATAGAAGTTATGATGATAGCACTTTACAATATAACGGACGTAAGGATGACAGGTACTATGAAGCGAATATATCATATTTTAGTGACCAAGAACGTCGAGCATCCCGTTATGATTATGAAACCGATTCAAAGAAAGCCGAAAAGTCAAAGATACGACAGGAAGAAGCGAGGCTAGAAGCAAGACGTTTTATGGACCGGCGAAGTGAAGGCCCCTATAGCGAGTCTGATGATCAGAAATTCAATGAAGCTTTAAAACAACAGCGACCACAGTTACTTCCTCGTACTAAACTACTTAAAAGAAACGTAGACGGTAGTGAATTACCTGAGGAAGGGCATACGTTTGGTCCGTGGTACGATCTGTGGGGCCGTGAAACAGCCATGTACAAGTAGTTTTAGTGACGTCTACGGTATTCCATTTCAATTTTATTTGCATTTTACAAAGCATGTATGTATATTTTTTGGTAATACCTTATAATCACCTTACATTTTTTTTTTTTTTATTTCTTGTTGTGTACTGCTAATATATATTTGGTAATCTATTAAGTCAGAGTAACTTCGGGAGTTAAAAATTACTTACCATTAGAGTTAGTAACAGTATATTTCTTATGCATCCTAGGTTGGAACCAATGACAAGATCGGTGGGCTCGTAAAGTTTGAAGTAGAGTTTTTTCAATTTTATAGCACAAAATATTCTCTACATATCAATTTAAAAAGTCTAAAAAAAACTAATAAAAAACGTTTAAGCAAACATGTATTGAATATTAATGATTAGTATATATTAGTTTTTTTTTGGGTTGTGAAGTACCCGCATTTTTGGTACTAATATTACAATACCATTAAAATTATAGTCATTTATTTCTTATATATTTTGTTATACGTCATGGTGAATTTTGTTAATAACATATTTTATAGATATTTTTATATAGTAAATAAGATGAATTTACTTGATGCATTAAGTACCTGGTATTGGACGTCATTTTATTAAATACTTATCTATATAAAACTTTATATTTGTTAAACGTTTACCGTGTATTTACCAAAAGCCAAAAATATTTGTTATAATTTACACAGCTAATTTCACAAAGGTTTATAAATAATAGAGTACAAATAAAGCAACATTGATACTACGACTATATGGTTTAACTATTATTAATATAATTGCATGACTTTTTACACAGGCCTCAACAATTCGCCACGGTGAAACTAAGAAAGGCATTAACAAATGATCGATCATCACCTGCCATTGATTAATATTTTACGTAATTATTTTATTGTATGTACTAAAATGTAAATTAGAAACACCATGTATTTTGTACAGTTAAATATTCATAGTTTAAGAAAGAATATATCACAATTTTTTTACAATAAAAATTGTTTTAATTATATCCCTCTAGGTTTAATTACAATTGTTAGGAATATAGTTTTGAAAAATAAACGTAAATTAACAGCCTAAATTTCCCACTACTGGGCAAAGGCCTCCTCCGTAGAGAAATTATTAAGGCATTGTCCACCACGTAACCCCACTGAGGACTGGCGGATTTCACATATCTTCTTGAATTGTTATTTTTTATTTATTATTTCAAAAATATGAAGGTTTCATCACGATGTATTCAAAATTAACAATTTATCGAACTAAAATGAATTAAAAGCAAGCACCCGGACCCGGACAGTGACCTATAGAATAGTATATATATTTATATCTATTAAAATTCAAACAATTTTATAAAATAATATAAGGCATATCCTTATATTATTTTATAAAATTGTTTATCTTCCTAAAAAAATGTAGTGCATAAAAACGTTCAAAATATGAGAAAAACCAAACAACTAAAATATAAAGCGCATAGTTAGATGGAAAAAATATTTATTGATCTCTTGCCACTTACTGTGGTATATGATTTATAGCACCTCCCCGTGCGTCCTCGACGCGGAATGTTACGAACAAAGGGGCCATAACCTAATGTTTCAAATGTTATTAAGAAATCGGAGAGTACACATGGTTTCATGTCAATTATTTGTGTACATGTTTTGACAGTCTTTAATTTCATGAGTGTCCAAATATTCATTTGGTTCATATTCCTTGACTACGGTATATGATAATTGATTGTTTTTTCAACAGTAAGGACTATGTAAAGGTAGAAATTTATAGTTTTTTATAGTGCTAATCTCTGCACTTAAGATTAAACATTAAAATTTGTGAAAAAGTACGACAAGATTTTCGCTGCTGTGGGAATCGACCCCACGTCTTGGGCATTCGCGGCCTGACGCTTTAGCCACTAAACTAAACGGCTGATTGCCACACCGACGAAAATCCTAATGTCTTTTATCTACGTTGTGTTATTTTTTAGCATTTGAATCAATGCTTGGCGCACGAACGAGAGACGTCGCCATTGCTTTTAAAGAAATTTTAAGTTTTTTATAGTGTTAATCCCTGCACTTAAGATTAAAATTTGTAGAAAAGGTTTCGAATGCCGAAGACGTGGGTTCGATTCCCACAGTGGCGACAATCTTTTCGTACTTTTTCTATGCATTACGATTAACAAATTAACAAGATTAGTAGTAAAACAAAATGTAAGATATAAGTGTTTAATATAGGTAGTAATTACGAAAAGTTAGTAAATAAAGTTACTCTGGGAGGAATAATCATGACGAGGTTTACGTCTTGTCACTTTCTGTCTCACAGAGGGGCGAAATGTGTTTTGATCGTTTGGCCATGGATGAATAATAAAGTTGACGAAGTATATGAAATGATGGATGCTGGAGGAATATATGCGATGGGCGTAAAACACACGACGCGGAAGGAAAAGAATATCACAAAGGACGATACTTGCACAGCTTATTATTCTGCGTTTTGGAGGTAAAACCTGACAGGATTTTGGTCCTAGTAGGTACTAAAGAATTAAATGAATAATCTTCCCGGAGGCTCCTTTGGTAATATATTAAAGAAATTGTAAAGACAAAAGTATTGGCCACTTAAGAAAAAGTTCTATTAATGAAATATTATTCTATTAATATAAATATAAAGTGCAAAATTACATTTGAATATAATTACTTTACTAGTAAACGCAAAAAAATGCGTATATATAAGTCACATCGCTTAAGAGTGTCAAAAACTTTACAAACAAAACTAATATATTATGCGAGCGCTTGGTGATTTGTATACGTGGAAAAGACTGACGAAGTAGCAATAATTATAAAATGAGTAGCAAAGTTGATACTAGCAGAGAGGACGCCCTTAATGATAGAAAATCAATTGGAGGGGTCAAATTAATCGGTAACCGACAACCATGCTTGTGTAGTTGTAGAAATGTGGAAGCGGCAAGTGTGTTCTTCGCATGCAAAAGTAGAAAGATGATTACCATGTATGTACCTTTCATCTTGATAATTGAAATAAATGTACGAAAAAAAGGAGCAATAATTGATTTCATGTCTTGTTTTATGAATTTATAGTTCCATTTATACATATAAAATGCAAAATAAAACATGTATACATTTAAAATGCAAAATAAATACTCTCTCAAATATAAAAGGAAATGATACGGTGCAAAAGCAAAGCTGCGAAGTTACCGCCGTTATTAAGTTGCATCAAGTTTATTGAAGAAGTTCATTCGTATAGTTGCGCCAAACACAGAACGCATAAGTAAGTGCAAAATACAATGCACGGTGAATACTTTAAAAGGGATTTGAAACAAACTGTTTGTGTTTAGTCCCTGAGTGGTTTTATAACTAGTGTTATATTTCCACGTAAATATAAATAACTGCAGATAATTTTAATTTGTAGAAAAAGATTTTTATAGTGCTTATATATATTATTAGTACCTGTAGGACCGAGCTTTGCTCGGTTTGTTTTTTTTTGGTAAGTCGTGTATTTTGGAAATTACATTTAGATACAAATTACTAAGTAATGAAATATGCATAATATATTTCGATCTTACCGACGTAATAATAAGAAAATATGAACTGGTGTTTTTCACAAAAGAAAGAACTTTAAAAAAAAAGTGAAAAAAATAACAAAATAACAAATCGACAAAAAACAAAAGATAAAGAAAGCAATGTTCTGGAATCGAAAAAAAAAAGTAAAAAAATAAGTGTGTAAATGATCGTGATACGAACCATGGCCTTCTGTTTCGTGACTGTTTGTTAGCGGCCGCCCGATTACTGACCGAGCTATTATAACATTTTTTTTTTCGGTGAAATTTACCGTCGTATTCGAATAATATTTTTCATTCCCTGAAAACTGGGATAAAACGACATTTTCTAAAAATGAAACCTAGTCAGATCTATTTTTCGCCCCCGAATCTACGCACATACTAAATTTCATGAAAATCGCTGGAGCCGTTTCCGAGATTCCAATTATATATATATATATATATATATATATATATGTATATATATATATATCTATATATATATATATATATATTTATATCTATATCTATAAATATATATATATATATATATATATATATATACAAGAATTGCTCGTTTAAAGGATAAGATACTGCACTTCTGTGCACAGAAGAGCAGTATAGTAATTAAACTTAAGATAACTTTATTCATATCTTCAACTTTGTCTACCTAAAAATAACTTGATTATTAGTATTTAGTGCAGATTTCCGTAATTTTAAAATACGAAATAGAAAACTACAAAAGTAGCCGCCAATAGATAGGTAATTCAAATGGAACTGCTGGTACTGCTTTACATTTAACGACCCATTTCTAACAAAGGTGCCTGGCACAAATGACTGGCACTCATTTACAGCGCGCTTAGATTCTTTTCGTAAAGCAAATGGGTAGCAAAGCGAGTAAGCGTAAGAAATTGAGATTATACGACGACCCTCCCAAAGGGAGCAAAGCTCGACCCACGGTGCCTACAAAAGAATAATACGTACCCGGCTGCGACGAGTCTTGGTGTTAAGTAAGTAATACATTCTCAGAACAAACATTGAATGAATGAATGAATACACTTTTATTGACGACCAAACATAAGAGTATACATAAAAGTAACAATAGAACAACAAATTTATGCAATGTACAATGTACCGTTTTATTCCAATTTATAACATTGTTATACATTAGAATAAAACGGTACTTTAAGTTCATCTTCTTTCTGAATGAAAAGCCACTACTCTCCCAAGTCTTTTAACTTTAAAATATTAAATTAACTTTAAATTTAAGGTCAATAACAAACTTAATATTCTATATATAACCAAAATATAATAAACAATAGTCTATCAAATAACAAAAAAAAACAATTCAAAACTTATGTACATTTAATAAAGTTTATATTCATGTTTAGTTAGAGATATGAGTTCATAGGTTAGTTAAAATAAAAACGAAAGATATTTGAAAATTATTTCTGCTGCATACATTACAATTATATTATG